TCTCTCTCACACACACACACACACACACACACACACACACACACACACACACACCCTCAGATGGACACGCAGGGCTTGGAAAAGTCAGGATGAAGGGGGAAAAATCAGAAGCAACACTGTAAAACAACTAGAAAGTAAAATTCAAAATACTTTGTAGCCTTTTCCTTAAAAAAAAAAAAACCAAAACCAAAACCATTGCAGAGCGTTCGAGGAGGCTCAGAGGGAAAAGGAACTGCTGCTGCCGGACCGAGCTCCATCCTTGGGACCCACACGGTGGAAGGAGAGAGCGAACTTCTGCAGTTTGTCCTCTGACCTCCGCCCACAAGCTGTCCAGTCCACTATTTCTCACACAGATATATGGAGTTTTTAAAAAGTAAAAATCAAAACGATTGTCTCTAACTCGAAAAAAATAACTTCAAAAAGCAGGAAGATTTTAATAAAGAGAAAAGCATAAATCAATGAATTAGACTCCCTAAAAGGCTAATATTGCTAATAAATACTACAGATTGATCTTTGGGGACGGCCTTAGATCACATCATTAGCTAATGTAATCAAGGACAGGGGACGAGGCGAGGAGATGGCTCAGCAAAGTGCCTGTGCTCCTTAGACCCCACCTCAGATGAACACGGGGGACACCTGACTAACCCCTCCCCCACCTCTCCCCACACTGGGGAAGCCCAAACAGCCCCCTGCCTGGGGCTCACTGGCAACCAAGTTTACCACTTCCAGCCACCGGAGAGACTGTCTCAGACAAGGGCGGGGACCCTGCGGTGGTCCTCTGGCCCTTAGAGTGGTGCACAGAGCTGCACACATAAAAACAGAAGAGCCGGCGTCGGGGTGATCCAATTACACTACACTATGATGCTCATCCCTATGTCACCTCATCGATAAACCTGGATCAAATGATGTTAAAAACTATTTAACAGACCCATTCAAGGATCAGGAGAATGATTAAAACAATTACTACAGAAGAAACCGTGAGCAGCGTTAAAAGGCCACCGGCCCCACCCAGCGCACGCTGGCTTAGTTTTACCCCGGAACTGAACAAGCTTTACAACAGACAGTTCCGAGGAACTGTCACCCAGCGCAGGGACAGGGAAGGCTACAGATGGCACCAGCCAACAAGAAACGGACTGTTCGGATGTGGGGCGTGGGAGCAGGGTTAGGGCTCCATTCCAAGACCCTGTCTTAAAGAAGGTTGAAACACTGTCTTTCTAATTAAGGTAGGAATCTTAAATAACAGATCCACTCCCGAAAGGATGTTATAAAGATTGATTCCCCGATGACCACATGGGGTTCAACCAGAAAGCAAGGACACGTCAACATGAAGGCGTCCAGGGACATCATCGCTCATAACCTGCAAAGCCACCTGGAAGTGTTCCAACCCCCATTCTTGATTGTAAAACTTCCACGAAATGGAGACGGACTTAACTGGATCAAATACTCATTTCACAGCTCGCATTTCCTTGGCAGGGCAATCATCGGCGCACACAGTACTCTTTGGAATGATGACAGGCACACAGTCAACCCTATTCAACAAAGCAAAAAACAAAATCGGAGGAGCCAGGCATGGTGGCCCACACACCTTTAATCCCAGCACTGGGGAGGCAGAGGCAGGTGGAGAGTGGCGAGTTCGAGACCAGCCTGATCTCCATGGCGGGCTCCAGGCCAGCCAGGGCTACGTAGGCGCTGTCTCAAAACAATAAACATACTCAACAAAAACCAGCCTGGCGGCGCACACTTGAAATCCCACCTCCTTACAGGGAGAGGCAGTATGACGAGGAACGCGGTCTCACGGATGTGGCAAGTTTGAAGCCAGCCTGGACTCCATGGGACTGGTCTCAAAAAGACAAAGTATTAAATAAATGACCATTTTCGCTGCTTGCTGTAAATCTAGAGGACTGCACTGGGAAGCCCTTTTAGCAACAGAATGCTGCGAGAAGACAGCGGGAGCCAGCCGCGGTCACAGGATCAGCCTCCGCTAAGGGAGCAGCAGTGCATCAAAACGCTCTCCTCTCCAGCCGCGAACGGGCCCCCAAATGTGTGGGAACTAAATGCAGCGACTGTTAGAACGTTCCCGGGGAACACAGGAGGAAGTCTGAACACTCGGGCCCGCCTCGCTCTCGGAGGGAGAGAGCCCTACAAAACACCATTTCTCCGGGATCCACCTGTCGAGGTACGCAGCCCCCACTGTGAATGCCACCCCAAGAAAGTGGCTCCCCAGGTTAGAAGGCAAACAAGCAAGGTTACCATGGAAATCTGGAGTGGGTTACCAAGGCGCATGAAGCTATCCATGTTATGTTATCCATGCTGCACTGGGGCTGACCGTGGGGGACCAGCCCTCGGGCTCGGCAGGTAAAGGTGCCAGCCACTAAGCCTGAGGGCCCGGAGTTTGATTTTGGGGACCCACATGATGGAAGGAGATAAGTGATTCCCACAAGTTGTCCTCTGACCTCTCCATGTGCCCCGGTGACGCGTGTGTATATGCTCACACATGAAGAATAAATCTAATTACAGGAAAACAATCACAAAAGAACACACACAGTGTGAATGAGTCAGTTATGAAAGAGGTGAACTTCTCTATGGAGGAGGGGTGGGGGGAGGGGCGGCTGTCACTGGGTGTGAGGCTGATGTGACCCCTGATGCTACCTCCCTCAGTCTGTGAGGACACCCAGAGCTGAACAGGGTGGGTCACAGCTCAGGGAAACTCGCCCAAGTTTCCAGCCCTCAGCAATGAGAACAGCTGGCTGTGTGTGTGACCTGTGTCCCGGCACTGGGGAGGTGGAGGCATCAGGAGGCCAAAGTCATCCTTGGTTACACAATGAGTTCAAGGCTAGCCTGGGCTACACAAGACCTTGCCTCAAAAAAATGAAAACAAAGTGGGGCGGGGAGAGGGGATAAATATGGATGAGAACAAGGTGGACCTGGGAAGCTCAGTGGTGAGAGAACATGCTTAGCATGAGTGAGGCCCTGGTTCAGTCCCCAGAGTCGCCAAACAGAAAGGGAAGAGACCAGCATTGGGCAGACTCTCGATCACATTTAGATCTCAACCTCATACTTTACAACCGATAAGTTATGAAACAATGTTTTGTTTTGTTGACACAAGATTTCTCTACATAGCCCTGGCAGCCTAGAACTCACTAGGCTGACCAAGCTGGCCTCGAACTCACAGAGCTCTGCCTACATCTGCCTCCTAAGTGCTAGGCAAGTACTTTTTAATACTATATAAAGAGAGAGGGGGGTGGAGAGAGAGAGAGAGAGAGAGAGAGAGAGAGAGAGAGAGAGAGAGAGAGAGGCCTTTTGAAGCATGTAAGTCATACGTTTAAACAAGAAACTGGAAGAAGGCTTGGGGAGGGGTCTCCTAAGTATGACTTAAAACCCAAAAGCCACAGGAGTTCTGATGAACTGAGGCAGGATCTAGACAAAAGATAAGCCAGGGAGGCATGCGGTTCTTATATTCCATACAACGGCCCCCACAGATCAACAAAGATGGACAGAAATCACCACCCCATCAAAAAACCGACCAGGAGACTCACTCACAGGATGCTCAGAATGAAAACACATGGCACGACAGAGAGACACCGAACTTCTGTCGTTTTAAATGAAAGCTACACAGTGAACCCATGCACACTGTCCCAGGTGGGACCGCTGAAGCTCCCAGACCACACCCACCAGCGCGACAACGTGTGTCACATGCCCTGACCCCGGTACTTCCTCTTCCAGCGTTTGCCCCACGCTGTGTTCGCACCTGGCGACTACAGGATTTATTGCCCCATGGCTTATCAAATCAACAAGTCATGGACAGTTTAAACAGAGAGTTAGCCAAAGAAATTACGGCTCATCCTTGCCGGGGAACGGGGCAGGCAAAGAGGCAGCGCCTTGGCGGGTGACCTGGAGGATGGAAGGTCAAGTGAGGCGCTGGACCATATCAGACGTGCGAGCATTTGCCAAAGCACATAAAACCTCTGAGGGGGCGCACAGGAAATGGACACCAGCTGCCTCTGAGGGGGCGGGGGCTTCGGCCTCTCATTCCTTCCTTAGGAATGTTGGACGCGAACGCTACTTTCAAGATAAATAAATAGCTGAAGAAAAAGCAACAGTGTAAACAGCTGCTTCTTGGCTACAGGGCGGAAACTACCGTTGTGCCTTTGCTGGAGACCCATGTCCCCATCCCCACGTTATGGCATGAAGTGTGTCGTCTAGACTGGCCTCCCTCCCGAGGGCTGGGGTTCCAGGTGCACAGTCAGGTCCAGCTCCAGAGCTCTGACTTGGAGGCATGTGGTGAGTGGGCTCCCTGGAGGATGAGGCCAGGCCTCCCAGAGAGGGGTCAGACTGGGCCATGACCGGCTCGCTCTACAGAAGCCCGAGGAGCAAAGAGCAAATCCCGGGACTGAGTGCGCAGAGGAGGGCACAGGGCACAGGAAGCAGCGGCGGGGTCTCACTCACACTTGCGCAGCTCCAGGCTCTTGCTTGGACAGGCCAGGTGCTGGCCAGGTGGGTTCTGAGTCCTCTGCAGACAGGCCAGCATGGCTGAGCTGGGAGCCCCGGGTGGGGGGCGCGCTGCGGCAGGATCCCTGTGAAGAGGGAGACGAGGCACTGGTCACTGAGAGCTGCTCCAAGCCGACCTCCTGCCCTCCCTCCCGAGCACCTCAAGGAACATCAATCAGATCAGCTGTTGTTGAGACCGCTCTCTTCGTAGTCCAGGCTAGCCTATAGCATATAGTCCCGGGGGGTGGGATGAGGGGGGGCATGTGCCACCGTGTCTGCCTTTGGGCCAGATGTTCAGACTAGACATCCCATCTCCTTCAGACGGGGAACTGAAGCATCCATAGGTGCCCCCAAGGCAGCACAGGACGGGATCAGAAGTGGCCTTCCACCACATGGCCAGAAGGGACCCATCTGGTCATCTTTGAGGTCCACAGAGTAGCCAGGTAGGGCTAGTGGGTGCAGTGTCCCTGTTCACGTCAGTCACTCATGTGGCACCTGTCTGGGGTGTTCCCACAGCACCCCTGGAGAAGAAGTGTCAGGGTGGTGTCCTGAGGAGGCGGCCTGGGGTACTCTACCCTGGCTGTGCTCCCTCCAAGTAGGAAGGGGAGGGCCAGAGTCGCCCCCAGTAGCTCTTAGAGGGCAGCTCAGATGGACCTCCTCATGGCCCATGATGTTATTCATCTACCCACGCCAAAGACTAGGGGTAGGGGGGCACAGGAAGCCCACATGTCTCCCCACAAAGCCCACCTTCCTGAGGGTGTGGTGCGCCCTGAGCACTGGGGTCAGGACCAGCCAGCCTTGGAGGCCCCCGTGGAAGATGGGTGAGTCCCAGTGGGGTCCACCCTTTCTCTCTCTCTCTCTCTCTGCCACAGAGAAGGGTGCAACCTGGGCACCCTGAGGTCCTTGTATCCTTCCCACCGCCATCCATCCCTGTCCCTGGCAGCCGGCCTGGGCTGCCTCCATCCTGAGCTGGTTGGAAAGGGGGCGGCGGCGGCGGGGGGTGGTGGTGGGGGAGTTTGAGGGGAAAGAGGGAAGGTATTTAATACTAAACAGGTGTCTGAAGCCCAGAATTCTGCTGCTTCTAATAATGAAGTATTCATGAGGAAAAGCCTTTTTTCACCACTTTCTTAGGATACTAATTTCACAACAAGCTCCTTGTTACGGCGCAATTATTCCAATCTTGTATTCCCCGAGACGGTGGCAGCCTCCCGTCTGTCCTGGCCTCTCGGTAAATGAAAGACAATCACGTAACCACCTTTCATTATGCTCTATTTTACTTTCAGCAGAGGGTACCCGTGAGTAAAGATTTCCTCTGAAAGGGACTTTTATTCAGTTTCAAAACCAATTTTCTCCTATTACTGTCTATAAAAAAAAAAAAAAAGAGGAGAAAAAAAAAGAAAAGAAAAGAAAGAAAAAGGAAGTGGGGGATGGATAGGTGTGGGGGAGGGTGGGATGCTCTTCCCCCCCAGTCACCAGTCTTAACACAGCGAGGCAATAAAAGCAGCGATACCCACTTCTCGGCTTTGATTTCTGGGAATTTTAAAATATGCCATTACAATCAGGCAATGGCTTACGGAGGGGGTGAAGTGGGGCTCATTGCGGGAGGGAAGTCCTTGACTGCAGAGGGTAGCGAGGCTCTCCAGGGACCCGGGATGGGAGCAGGTGACAGAAACGGGCCTGCGGGGGGGGGGGGCACCGCCACATGCCACAGTCCGGCCAGGAGGCCACCGTCCACCCCATTCGGACCGAGGGTGCCGGGTTCCCCCACACCGCGGGTGCTCACTTGTGCACAGGCAGTATATACCCGGTGTCACGCTCCATCACGTGGTGTGTGTGTGTGTGGGGGTCCCTGAAACATATGCATTGACAGTCCATGGGGTCACTTGACTGGTACACACTCAAGTGAGGGGGCCCGGCAGCACCTGCCTTGACCCCGCCCACTTCTCCCCACCCCCCCTCCATCACGGCATCTGTTTCCGGCCACCCCGATGCACGAAACCTGCCCACACCCTTCTCTTCACAGGTGACGCCAGACTGGAGGGGGCGGAACCTGGGGTCCCCAGGGGCTGTCTGTCCTCCACAAGCCAGGCAGCGTTTTTCTGGAGGAGGGAGGACAGAGCCTGGAGCCTAGATTCCCCCAGCCCCTGTACTGGCTGGGCCATGCTCTCCGACTTGTAAAAGTCACGCCATGAATCTTCTAGCCTCACCACCCCACCCAGGCATATTATTCTAGGGTCCTGACCCGTTCTCTTACCGGGTGCAGGAGGCCAGGGTCCCAGCCTCCCTCCAGGATGAGGGGACCCCAGTGGGCCACCCCTCCTAGTACACTGGAAACTAAAAAGGACATGATGGGTTACAGCTGTTGAGTGAGGGCAGCCTGCCTCCCAGGGCCTCTAGGATGTCCAGGCAGTCTGGGGGCCCTGGGGGCCATCAGGCTGGGAGGACATGGACGATGTCCCGTTCTGGCTCCCCTCAGCTTCTCAGGGCAGCTCCTGTTGCTTTTCACCTCTGGAGAAACCAGGCTGACTGAGCCACACACAGCCCCGGACACCAGCTTCACCTGGAGGAGGAGAGGGGCTTCTCTGCTTCCTCGCGTCTCCCAGATCACGGGCCATTCTCCCCAAACCCTGTGTCCTGCTGTGGGGACTGGGGCGGGGTGGGTCTCAGATGAGCCAGGGGCCAGCTGCGCCTTACGGGGAGGGAAATGCCCACCTCAAGTTCCCAGAACACCCCGGAACACGTTGGCCTTTAAACTTCTCCCAACACAACCAGCTTTCTCGGCCTGGCCCAGCTCTCCCCCGGCCGCCCGGTCTCTCAAGGCTCCCCGCCCTCCAAGGCCCTCCTGGCTAACTGCCTCATACCTCCAGACCACGGCACCTGCGGCCCGGCCTGGGGCACTGCCACGCAGCCATGTTGATTCAGGCCTATTTCGGATGGCTTGGCTGGCGGCCATCTGGGCGTCCCTCGCCACAGCCCTAATCACACCAAGTTGTGATTGCCGACTTCATGTCTGTCTGTCTGTCTGTGTGAGACCGTGGGTTTCCGGGGGGCGAGGGCCACGTCTCGTTTGTTTCCATCTCCCCAGGGTCTGGCCAGGAATAATCACTTCGTAAGTGATGTTGGGGAGGTGGCTCCGCAGTTAAGTGTGTGTTGTTCTTCAAGGGGACCTGAGTTTGGTTCCCAATGTCACTCCAGCTCCTGGAGGTGCACACGCGGCACACCCCCACACAGACATGGCACATGTGCACACACACGGCACACCCTCACACAGACATGCACCCGTACACACACACAGCACATCCTCACACAGACACGCACACATGCACACACAGGGCACACCCTCACACAGACATGCACCTGTGCATACACAGCACACCCTCACACAGATATGGTACCTGTTGCACATACACGGCACACACACACACACACACACACACACACACGGCACACCCTCACACAGACACGCACACATGCACACATATATGCACACCCTTACACAGACACGCACACAGATATGCACACCCTCACACAGACACACACACACATGCACACACAGGGCACACCCTCACACAGATATAGCACCTGTGCACACACACGGCACACACACACACACACACACACACACACACACACACACGGCACACCCTCACACAGACATACAAATAAAAATAAAGTAAAAATAAGGGCATCCAATGAATGGCTGCACCAAACTCACTGGCTATTGTGAGATAAAAAGCCCAGAGACATCAAGGGCCCTGCACAAGGTCACACAGCAAGCCAGGACTAGGCCTGGAGTGGGCACCTAAAACACTCATGCCTTTCCCGTGACTTTTGGCCTGCCTTCTCCTTGCCTGGCCCCACCCCATCTGCAGATGGTGGGTCCCTCAACCGTCCAGCACATAATCATCACCGCCCGGCCCCGCCGGGGACCATCTGGAGAGCCACACTGTCTGCAAACCGGACTGTTTATAAGCTCAAGGCCTTTTGTGACTTTGATAATAAAGGGGGGCGGGGTGGGGGAGGGGAGGGGAAATGTCTCGAGCCTCAGTGATTAGAATGCTCTGGCACCAGCCCTGACGTGGGGGCTGATAAGACGTCTTATCTGGGAGACACCCAAGGAAAAGGTCCCCTCCAGCAGATAACACCCCCAGCTGTCAATGTTGCCCTTTCATAGCTGGGCTGCAGATAAGGAGCTGTGACGGGCGGGAAGGAGGAACTCTCGGGGCTGAGGAGAATTAAGTCTGATGCCCGAGTGGCAAACAATGAGCCCACGCTGTCTTTATTTGATTCAAAGCGTCCTCTTGGGGGTGGGAGGCTGGCCTTGTTACCTTGTGTCATCCATCCCTCTGTGTCTGGCTGGCTACAGGGGGTGGCGGGGGAGTCCCAAGAGAGCCTGGGACGAGCAGGGTGCTGGGTACTGAGGACAGGAGTCCCTGCTGGCCTTTTGATTATGCAAAAGCCCTCCTCACGCATCCAGATCTGAGAGCGTCCCGTGGTCCCTCAACCCAACCGGCAAGGCAGCCTCGGCTGGCTTTAGCTTCCTTTTACACAGTAGGAAATGGACACCGTGCGGGCGTGGGTGTGGGTGCGGGCAATGTGTACAAGATCACAGAGATTTTCAACTGGCAGAGCCCAAGGGTGTCAGATCCTGAACCTCAGGCCCCTGTGTGGCAAATCCATCGTAGTCGGGGGAATCCTCGAAGCCCCTGGCTTCAGCCACGCCACCACCAAGGAACAGCTGCAAGGTCCTGATTCCCCTCCGTGCCCACTAGCCCCTTGGATTCTACCCTGAGAGGGGCTGGGGAGAGAAGAGAGGCAGGGGAAGAGGACAGAGGCTCCCTGGAGAGCAACCCACACATTCCATAACCATTCAACAGAACCCAGCGTGTGCCATGCAGCAGGTGGGACCCTGCCCTCCCCCACTCACTCCCTCGGGCAGTAACACTTGGGGACACCTTTTGGGGGGGCACCCCTATGCCACATACGTAAGCGTAACCTGTCACAAAGGCCCCGGGAGACCACCCACTCAGAGCCGCTCTCCCTGGCTAAATCCAGTGTAAGTTGAAAAGAGATTGTCCCAGCCTTC